CTGTACATTCACACGCTTTGCTTGTACAATGTTTAGATTATAAACTGGCTTGTTGACTGGTCGATGCGCTGATGGTCAACACATTTTATCACTTATCCTGATTGACAGACCTGTTCGGCATGTTGATTGGTCGAAGCGCTGATGAGTTAATCGATAATCCTGATTGACAGCTCTGTTACGCAATACCGAACGCGTGTTCGCTTTCTGGGACCGCTACTGAATTTGGGGTTTGCTTTCTGCGTTCGCTCTGGGTTCGCTACGGGTGCGCTCCGGGTTCGCTCGGGGTCAGCACTAGCGGACCCCAAGCGAACCCGAAGCGAACCCAGAGAGCGAACCCGGGGTGCGCTCTGGGTTCGCTTTCTGTTAGGTTGTGTCTGGTCGGTACTGTATGCCCGGCCTGTACTCGGGCATCCCCTGTGGGGAGGGGAGTGTGTTACATAGTATGTCAACAAAAGAAGTAAGGTTTGCCCAGCCTCAATCTAGCTCACCAGGGATGATGATCAGTGAATCCCTGGAGTCCTCTTTAGGTAGCCTGTGTAGGTATAGCTCACCTGGTAGCACTGTGGGTTGTAGCCCACCTAAATATGAATATAGTGAGTTTCCCTTGAATTTGGGTTTAAACCATCCTTATTCCTTAGGCCATGTGCGACCAGCTAGTAGTAGCCACCCTGTCCTTGTGGAAGACACAGCTAACCTGGGGGACCCTGCTACCATGGGTTATAGACCAAGCCGCTTGGGTGAGGTTGTAAAACACCCACTTGACCCCGCCCTTCAGTCCCATACACCGTGTGTTAGTCAGCAACCTGACAGGCCTGTAAGGCCTGCACAGCTCACCTTCAAGTTTAATCGTCAACATGTAAGGCCCGTAGATCCTATAGGGCTCACCTGGGACCCTGCACTCATACAGAGCCAACCTAGACTAGCAGCTTTTGGTGCGCCCTCTTTCCCTGGGGATGATTTGCAACTCTGGAGCTCAATGCCACGCACTATATCTGTTCTAGTCCCTGTAAATGTTGGAGTGTCCACAGCCTTGGTTCAGTCACAGGCAAATAGTAACCTAGTCTCTTGGACTTTAGACACTTGTGTGACTGCTGCCAGACCCCAACCCACATCATTATATGCTAGTTCCACAAGCACACCTTAGCATGCGCCCCCATCAGCGTACATCAATCCTGAGGGTAGGCATGCCAACCCCCAGTGCCCGATCACGCCCAGTCTGTGTTGTACCGAGGCGAGAGTACTCCAGCCACACCCCATGGTATGGCTATGCCCAGTGCACTGCAGCACCATAGTGTCCCTGTGTCAATGACTTGTAGTCCTGCACATTCCGACACCCCAGCCTACCATTTTGGAAGGGAGGGGGAGAGGATAGCACATGTGCAGCCAAACATGTATGGGGCACCCCATCCGGGATACTATGCTAGTCAGTCAGTCCCGGCTAACCAGGGTATCGTTTAACAAAAGCATCGTAAATTGTACGTAGTACGTAAGTGCGACGTAAGTAGCGAGTAGTTAAATTTCGGTGTTTCACGAAAGGGTCCTAATTCATGTTGCGTCGTACGTTACGACGTAACTTTACGTCACATTGGAGGTGACGTAAAATTACGTCGTAACGTTAGTATCTAAAGATGGCGGCGTTCATGAGGGTTGCGGACGTACAGGTGCGTCGAAATTTACGCAGACAGCGCGTGTTTCCGGACAAGCAGAATCCCCTAGACGCATTTGATGATATGGATGAAATATATGGAGATAACGAACAGTATTCAAGCTCAAAAGTCCATTTATCAATACAAAATAGGAGCAGAGCAAACACGGACCTCCAAACATCAGAGGTGGGATCAGGTGCCATGGAGAAGTGAGCATTCCCTGCCGACCGGTCACACCCGCCGTGTGCTCCTTGTCATGATCGGGAAATAACGGAAAAATCCGTCGACAATTCAGTGTGTAAATAATGGCCTAACAATTAGTATGAAAAACGTCAGTCAGCATTTGACTCGATTATAAATTGTAATTGCATACAAGGTCATTGTATCGACTATAGAACTTACGAAATGATGACTTTAAACGAGACAGCTGATATTATTGTTTCATCAACTTATTTGTCAATAATTAACCTCGTTTTAGAAATTGTACATACGTAGAGCATGCTCTTGGGTATCGAATCAACTGAGAGATATATACCCCGTATGCAGGTGGTGAAGGTATATTGCTGCATAAGTAAGGGAAGTTGACGATTGAAAAGTTAAAGTCATCACGTTTATCATAAAGCTTTATTGATAGATTACCTTTAACGTCTTTTTCAAGTAAAATATCCAAATATGAAACAAATGTGTCAGACTCTGTGGTATCTTTTATCTCAAGTTCACAAGGATATATCGTATCGACATAATGGATATTATCCATCGTTACCGGTTGGACAGAAGGACCATCCTAAGTATCATTGATAAAGTCCAAGAGCGTTTAGAGAGACCCAACCAAAAGATCTGGAAGTCTTCCAGCTTCGTTGCAAGTGTTTGCTGCATTAAGATTTCTCGCTTCTGGCTCCCAGCAGAGAGTGATTGGAGACACTCCTGGGATATCAAAGCCATCTGTTTGAAGGTTGTTAAATACGAGGATGATAAAATTTATTTTCATGATGTGTTAATCCAAATTTCATTAGACCTTCTTAAAAAAAATGTTTATTTGCCCTCTCGAACTCAGAATAAAAGAAGGTAGATAAAGGTTAAAGGTAAGAATTAAGGTAGGAAAAAACTCGCGAAGGTAAAGCTTAAATAAAATTGTTGACATGAAGTAAATATGTTAGACATGTTTAAATAATTTTTAACAAACAAAACGGAAAAGTTTGGAGAGAAACGACACATGTTGTCATATTCCATTTAAGATTAAGAGTTTCTTTTATTTATTTTTTAATTCAATTTTTAAAGGATAACGTGGTACAAATACCTTTAATCTTAAATTAGGAAATAAAGATAAATAAAACTGATGCAAGTGAATTCATGTAAAGTTCTGAATAAGTACTTTTGGATGACAGCACCAGGCAGTGGCGACTGAAGTACATGTATCTAAAAGAAATGAATCGATTCTTATCTTTATTTATTTATCTTTTTTTGTAAATATTTAATTTTGCTTTTATAATTAGTGAATGTTTTCAAGGAATATCCTAGCCGACCCCCCCCCCCCCCCGATATATTTAATTTTTTTTAAATGAGTTAAATTAATACGTATATACCTTAATTTATTGTATGTGTGGCAATAAATAAATGAATACATTTTAGCGAGTTATGGTATTATAAACTATTTTTGTCGAAAATTTATTAAACAAATTCTAGCTTCACAACGTCAATACGATGTCTTGTTTTAAAATCCTTTTTTTTTAAGTAAGAGGGGTGTGACTGCACCTGAAGCATAGCTTGATTTACGTGGAAGTTTAGAACTATTTGAATAAGTTTCATTTTTGTACAAATACACTTCATACTATTCTAATGATAAATTTAACAACAAAGAAATTTACCATTTGCACAGAGACTTGCGACAACATATTTTAAAGCTCTGAATTATTCCCTCTCCCTCCTTAAGAAAAACTGGTACAGCTTAGCAGTAATATTTTTAATTATAAAGAGACGAACAATATGCAACTTTGGTTTCTTCTCTAATAGATTTTTGAGCACTGTTAGTAAATGGCCAGGATCAACTCATGATGCGTTTATATGGGTCAATTGTTCGATTGCGCAGAAATTTGAAAATGGACAAATGAATTGCTGGATCTTAGGAGATTCTAGGTACCCTCTAAGGCCATGGCTCATGACACCAGTTAGTAATCCTAAATCCAGAGGAGAAGATCGGTATAATGGGTCTCACAGGAGAATTCGTGTGGTGGTTGAACAGGCCTTTGGAGTGCTAAAATCCTGCTTCGGGTAACCCATTTTAAATTAGCTGCAGAACTGAAGCTCTCCGAAAAAAAAATGACAGACCGGAGAGCTACAGTGACACCTATTGAAAAAAGTATATTCATTGCGCACAAAAATGTGCGCTACTTTTCGATATCTTTCTCCGTTTTTTTCAAACCTCCATCCCAAAATATTACTAACCGTGTAATCCTTACATATTATTTTACTGTTTCCACAAGAAAACATTCCTGGTAACCGTTTTTAATAGCTCTCCTGGGCCTGAAATTGAGACCATAGAAAATTTCGACTATTTCTACTGCCATTTTGGTTGGCAAAATAATTCGGTCCAACGCACTTCGTGCAGATGAGAACTATGTAAGTATTTGATAGAGGTCTAAGGAATTTTTTGAAATCGATCTTTAGTGCAGTTGAGGTAAAAATTTTGAAAAATTTATCCAGAACTGAGCGCAACTTTTTGTGCGCAATACAAATATACAGTGTTTTTTAGGTGGCACTGTTGCTCTGGTCATCCATCCTAATTTTTTCAGACCAATGTGCTACAGATCTGCAGCTAATTTCAAATGTATCCTGATCTTTGTGCACACCAGAAAAAAAAAGAGAGAGATACGCAAATAATTGTTTACAGGTGTTTCCGCAAAATAGGTGGAGCTCTTCAGTACACACCAGCAAAATGCTGCAAGTTTATGTATGTATGTTGTCAACTCCATAATATCTGTATTGACAAGCGAATTCCAGTTTTTGAGGAACCTGAAGAAGTAGTTGAAGCTCGAGACGAGGTAAGCCAGGGCCCAATCAATGACGGCAAAACAACCAGACAACAATTGATAAGACAGCGATTTGCATAGGTAACGCCCTATATACATCAATAAAACAATTCATGTGTTTGTACTATTCATATTTTACTTATTTAGAAATTAAGAGAGATAAAGAAGTAATTACATGCATTTATAAGTATTTTTGGTAGAGTATTTGAACAATTCAGCATAACATTAATTAATAAATACTGATAATCTAATATGGCAAAAAACAATAAACTCTCTCTCTCTCTCTCAGTAATATTAAATATTAAAACACATACATTCTCTCTCTGTCTCTTGCTCTCTCACTCAGCGACTCAAGGTGGAGAACAACTCCATCAAAGGATCACTTTGTCCCCCAGCTGCAACCCTTTCCTGTAATGACTTTAAGATATTAATCTGGAGTCGATCTTTCTCTATCTCCAGCTCGTTCTTCTCCAGCTCCTGTTCCAGAACCTCGCATTGAAGGTCATAAACGTCCTCCACCGACCTCTTCCGCTTTAAAGCTGCTTTTTTCCTATAAAGTTTTAGTTCACAAACGTTTACATGAATACAAAGGTTATTCAAATTCATATCAGTTTCATCCCCCCCCCCCCGAAATACCCATACGTTTTGGTTGGTTGAACATACTTATCGCGATCTGGAGCCTCTGGAAGTGTTGGGGTGGCGGCTTGCTCACCAGAGGATGTACCTCTGAAATACAAATTTAATATTTATAATTTACATGACTTTTTTATTAACAAGGTTAACGGTAATACCATTTTAAGTACATGAAATCAATATAAATGTTAACTCGCCATTAACATCATCCGTATCAAACCCACCTTCTACCGATGTTTTGCCTATTATTGCAACAACCTGAAATTAAAAATTAGAGATCAATTAAGCTACATTGTAGTGATTAAGATTACAATTATTCGTTGTACATAAATTCAAATGCTATACCTTCTGACTGCTGACGTCTGAGGAGTTGACTGGAGCAGGAGTAGGTCCATCGCCGGTTCTCACAAGTTCCCTTCTTTACTGGGTCTCCTTCTTTTTAGTTTGAGATGAAATATCTATCCATTTTTTTTATAATCTCAGCGGATGTCCTCTCCTAGATACCTATGCTGTTTATTCTGATTTATGAAAAAAGTCAATAGGTCAACAATAGGTTTAAGAGTTTTAAGTCAGAGCAAAAGAAACTTCTAAAATAAAATAAAAATTATTGAGGAACCTAGCACAATACTTGATAAGTTTCTTTTACTTATAATTTATTTTCATTCATACGTTCACAAAATAGAATACGTTGTATTATTTATTTCTAAGATGCCAATAAATATTTTTTTTCTTCTTCACTGAAAAATGGTTTACAAGCAAAAACGAGACGGGGGAGGTTTTGTCCGAACTCAAAAACTTTCCAGCTTTTTTCTATAAGATTTAGCCCCCCCCCCCCCATGTTCGCTTTAACCGTGTTTTACCGTACATTCCGAAATTGACTTTATTTGTCCTCTTGATCAATCACTTACACTCTGCGTTTAAGAGTAGCAAAGGTGGATTGAAAATGAATTTCAAATTAGATATTTTAATTAACTTATCATAGATTTTCTTCAGTACAGTAATCACTGGTAAAAATATTGAGAAGAGACATGGCCCCGTGCCCTTCCGGTTCCTAACGGACCTAAATAACATGTATCTTACCGAAGAAACATAATTCCGTGATCTATCAAAATTAATGGACAGTGAATATAATATACTAATCCACATATAAACACTGATATTCAACATTTTTCAATTCGGGAATGGTCCTTGTCAAAAGTCTCAAAAGAAATATTGATATTTAAGTATTATTTTCACTAATAAAGACCCGGAGTTCATACATGTAGTCGGGAATGAATTGACCTTTCCCCTCTTGAATTTAAATTCCTTGAATTCTAAAACTGTAAATTAAAAATAGCCTTTAGCTGTTAAATAAGTATGGAAATGGACACCCAATTCCCAGCTTTTTGTTGCAAATATGATAGTGTTCCACCCCCACCCCCCTTTTCGGCTTGTCAAAATCATTTCTTTTCTTTTTAGTCTACAATTTATAAGTCTGTCTCAACTTTTCCAAAACGATGCTACTTGCAATTTATTAAATTACATTCCAACTGATACCAATAACATTTAAAGAATTTTTGTATGTACTGACTAAATTTTAATTCACGACTCTCTCTCTCTCTCTCTCTCATACTTCATGTCATGGTAAAGTTTGACAAAAATATTAACAGCAACTAATGATATTACTTTTACTTTACATTCAATTTGAATAGAAGTTTTTCTTTATCAAATCCAGTGATTGTAAGCAAGAATTTGATCCACCACTGCATTATCAGTTGAAGAGTCATTGAGAAAAAGATATCATGGGTCTGGATTTTATGAAAATTAAAAATAAAATCATTCTGTCTCCTTGTACCTCATGTAAGGTGGCAATGTGTGCTGTGCCTGAAAGGCAAATAATTAGGACTAAAAACCCAAATATATTGTCATTTTTTTTATATTCTTAAGGGATTCTCACAGTGTCAAGGTCAAGCTCAAAAGGTAAACATGCAGACGATTTCATTTATCATTGGTTCGAGTAAGTAATCGTTTCCTTCTCTTTCGTGAGTCCCTTTATCATTTAAAGGACATGATTGCTAATTTATATGATTTTCAACTACTTCACTTTAAGCTCTTCATTTTGATGGTTTATTACTTTCTCATTACACCGCAGTGTAGATAGAATAATCATCGATTTGAAAAATGCTATAAACTGTTTCACATACCCAAAATCTATTCATTCCGATGAATTCCTGAAAGATATATTATAAACTGTGGCATGATAATTTACAGTTTTGGAAGTATTGTTCTTGTCAGAGATGCGCTATTTTTTAACTGACTTGTAACTTCTTTCCGAGGAAACTCGAACATAAATATCTATCAATATGAGGGGCGCATCAGGGATAATGTTTTTCAACTTCGTGTGAATATTGACCTATAGGCACTATAATGAAATATTTTAATTTGTGGATGAATTTTATATTAATATAATGAATTAGTAAACAAAGCAAAAATGTATAGATAAAATGTTATACACACAAGGAACAAATATTTTTCCAACATTGATTCTTCCTCTGATTGGTATTGACGTCCTTATGTGGTGCAAACAGAATGTCCTTTTGTTTCTCCACCTCTTCTACCAGGGCCTCTACTTCCTTCGCAGTAAAATTTTTCTTTTTCTCTCTCTTTATTTTAGAATAAGTTTCGTCTGCCGTTTTATTTTTACTTCCGGTAAAATTACGTAGTTCGTAAGTTGCGGATATTTACGACAGTTCTAAGTACCTTTCGTGAAACAGTTTTAACGCAGTATGTAGGTACTACCTAAGTTCGTCGTAACTCGCTAAGTAGTACTTAATTTACGATACTTTTGTGAAACGATACCCAGGCTCGCAACTTTAGTACACCAATACATTATGGCTCACCTGGTTACCAGGGTACCACACCATACCCAGGTAGGGCAGCCACTGGGTGTAAGCCTCCGCATAAGGACCCTAGGTATGATGGTAAGACCAGCTGGAAGGCATTTTTGCACAAGTTCGTTAGGTTCTCTCGCAGCCAGCTGTGGGCCGAGGAGGAGCAACAGGACCAGTTCTGTTTTTCCCTTGAAGGGGCAGCAAGTGAGTATTATACCTTGCTGTTAGGAACCAGTAGGCAGCTCCGCCTCGGCGAGATCTTGCAGAGATTTGAGAAGCGTTTTGGCTCCTCTGCCCCCGATCTCACGCATCAACTTAACTTCCAGTCTGCCAGTCAGAATCCAGGAGAGTCACTTCGTCAGTGGGCAGACAGGGTACTGACCTTGGCGACGCGAGCCTTCCCTTTTGTGCCGAATGTACACATGCATGCCATACCTCGGCTGCGTTATGGAGCCGAGGACCGTGACACTAGCCTCTATGCGCTCGAAGGGCTACCCCGGACTGTAGAGGACTCCGTGGAGCGAATGCAATACTTCCAGCACTCCCAGCTACATAAGCCTTAAGCCAAGAACGAGCTGCGGAAGTTGATCTAAGGTGAGGACACTGAATAGGACTATCCTAATACGGTAAATGTCGCTGCTGGGGAGGAGCTGGAAGCCTTCCGGAGCAGAATGGAAAAGTTGGAACAAGCCGTTAAGCAGAAAGGATCTGCCCTCCTTCCAAAAAACCCCAGAGGACTGGTACCCCGCCACCCAGATTGGCAGAGCGAGACCAGAAGCCCAGTGAGTGTTTTAAGTGTGGAGAGGTGGGGTATTTCCGTAGAGATTGCCCCATCCAAGCTGCCGGGAAGACAGTAGCTACTGATGGGCCGCGGGGCGGACCCCGGATAAAGGGACCTCTTGGTGAGAGGTATCGTAGGCCTGAGTCCCAGGAGAGGAGACCAAGGAGTGGAAGGCCTGAATCCCAGGGAGGGCCCACCCAGGCAGTTCGATTTATGAACCCAGAGCAGTCACCAGAGAGGACGGACTCGGAGAGTAAGGAGCAGGGGGCTAGTCTACCCCCTCCTGTATGCGGCGCAGGCGCAAGCGGAGCAGGCAAAGGGTCCGCTTTGAGACCCAACAATCGCCGGAGCAATTCTCAGCTGAGGAGGAAGAGGCATCCTTGGACGAGGAAGTGGGGAAGCTTGTGGCCCATCACTCCACTCCGGAGCCACATGGACCAGCTCGGGATACGACTAGGAAGTTACAGGGCTTTGGGAGGACCAAGCCTGGTGGTTCTGGTCAAAGGTCGCCAGAGGATGAGGGGAATGAGCCCACTATACCTATTGGCAACTGCGCCCATCTACAGGGTTTTCTGTTAGTTTACGTGTGGAAGGCATACGGGTGAGTGCTGTGGTTAACACAGGGGCTGAGGTCAGTGTTTTGTTGTCTCAGGTTTATGACCAGCTGGAGCGTAAGCCCCAAATCCAGAGACATGTTACAATGACTCAGGCGGGTTTGGACACCAAGTTGAAAGGTTTCATAGTTGGACCCGTGGCAGTGAGCATAGGTACACAGACTCATGAGATTGATCTTTATGACGCCCGTTTGCAGGACCCCATGTTGCTGGGGATGGAGTTTCTTCATGCCCGGAAGGCTTGATTAGATTTAGAGCATGGGACTTTGACTTTGGGAGGGGAGACAATTAAAATGAACTTCGGCCGAGCTGAGGAGATTCCGGAGGCCAGGGTGAGGTTTGCGGGAAGGTGCGAGTTCCTGCTTGCTCTAATGTTTTGTGCCCTTGCCGTCCAGATCAGAAGCTGGCTGACTTTTTGGTGGTTCCTAGCATCAATACCCAGTCTGATCTGCTTCTTATGCCCCACACCTTTCATGTAGGAGGGGACACTGCAATTACCTGCATAGTGAACGCTTCCAATCGAGATGTGACCTTGAAGGTGGTAGCCTTATTGGTTCTGCAGTGGAAGCTGATCCACACCAGCCTGTGCCCTACTTCGCGCGGACAGTAGGCAGCCTGGATGAAGGAGATCGGGGGGGGGGGGGGGAGCCACTTCCCCTGAGGTGCCTGAATTTCTGCAGGATTTGTTAGAGCGCTCTTCTTTGGAACTCAATACAGAGAAGAGGGAAATGCTGGCCAGTCTGCTCACAGAATTTCAAGATGTATTTGCTCGGAGCGAGTTCGACTTTGGGAACTTCACCGCATTAGAACACGAAATAGATACCGGAGACGCACCCCCTGTAAAGGAGCGGATGAGACGCACTCCTATTTTCCTTGCTGGTGAGGAGGAATCCCACCTAAAGAAAATGCTGGAGGCTTGCGTGATACATCCCTTTATGTCTGAATTGGCCTCAGCTCCAGTTCTGATTAGGAAGAAAGACGGTCAGATCAGATGGTGCCTGTACTATCGCCTTTTGAACAAGGTGACTCGGAAGGATGTATTCCCCCTGCGGGTCTAGGAGGGCGTGGACGAGATGCAACCTGAGACATCCCATGAGAGGAGGCTGCCTTCACCCTCTGGGAGCCATGAT